GGTGCTGGGGGACGACGCGGTGGTCCACTACGACAGCAAGGTGGACAAGTTCAACAAGCGGTTGTCCATGGTGCGGAGACAGAGGCGGGAAGGCGATCTGACGGTGGACGAGATGGAGGTGCGGGACGTGTCTCTCTTCGAGTTCTGGTGGAAGTTTCATGTGGACAGGGGCAGGGTGAGGAGATCCACCTGGGCGGTGTGCATCATGGTGCCCCAGCTACAGCGCCGACGTCGCCAACGTGGAGCACGCGCACCACGAGGGCTACGCGCGGGCCGCGGTGGTCGCGCACTGGAGGCACATGACCACGGAGCGCCGTCGCCGGCTCATCCTGGAGCAGACGGGTGTGCGCGTGGTGCCCGACGCGTGCATCGGCGGCACGGTGTTCGAGGAGCCCTTCGTGCAGGCGTGGCCGGCGGCGTTCGAGTCGGACCGCTATCTGGGGGTGGAGGATCTGCGGAGGCGGATGGCGGGACGCGCGATGATGCGGCGGGGAAGTTCTGATCCAGTTTACAGAAGAAGGTGGTCGTTTAGACCTGGCCACGTCTCCCACAGAGAAGCACACACTTTAAAGGTTTTTGGCCCCACCTCCACAGTGTGTAGGGAAAAAACCGCACAGGCGCGCCCAGAATACCAATCGGCACCTGTTTTCGCGATATCCCGAGCAAGCGCGCTCAGAATTGCAGCCTGAATATGATTTCGTGCTTTCCGAGCAGCCGCGCCCAGAATTGCAATCTGAGCTCGAATTCGCGCTTTGCCAGGCAGGCGCGCCCAGAATTGCAATCTGAATTTGTTTTCGTGCATTCCAAGCGGGCGCGCCCACAATTGCAATCTGAGCTCGGTTCCGCGCTATCTCAGGCAGGCGCGCCCAGAATTGCAATCTGAGTCGATTTCGCGCTCTCCCAGGCAGGCGCGCCCATGATAGCAATCTGAACTTTTTTTCGTGCTTTCCAAGCGGGCGCGCCTAGAATTGCAATCTGAGCTCGGTTCCGCGCTCTCTCAGGCAGGCGCGCCCAGAATTGCAATCTGAGCTCGATTTCGCGCCAGGCAGGCGCGCCCAGAATTCCAATCTGAACTTGTTTTTCGTGCTTTCCAAGCGGGCGCGCCCAGAATTGCAATCTGAGCTCGGTTCCGCGCTCTCTCAGGCAGGCGCGCCCAGAATTCCAATCGGAGCTCAATTTCGAGCTCCCCCAGGCAGGCGCGCTCAGAATTGCAACCTGAACTTGTTTTCGTGCTTTCCAAGCGGGCGCGCCCAGAATTGCAATCTGAGCTCGGTTCCGCGCTCTCTCAGGCAGGCGCGCCCACAATTGCAATCTGAACAGGCGCGCCCAGCATTGCAATCTGAACTCGATTTCGCGCTCTCCCAAGGGGGCGCGCTTGGAATTGCAATCTGAACTGGTTTTCGTGTTTCCCGAGTGGGCGTGCCCAGCATTGCAATCTGACCTCGATTTCGCACTCTCTCAGGCATGCGCGCCCAGAATCTGAACTCGTCCTTGCGCTCTCCCAAGCAAGCGCGCTCAGAACTGCAATCTGAGCTCGGTTCCGTGCTCTCCCGAAGGAACGCGCTCAGAATTGCTATCCGAACTCGTTTTCGTGTTTTCAAAGCGGGCGCGCTCAGAATGGCAATCTGAGCTCGATTCCGCGCTCTCTCAGGCAGGCGCGCCCAGAATTCCAATCTGATCTCGTTCTTGCGCTCTCCGAGCGAGCGCTCAGACTTGCAATCTGAGCTAGGTTTCGTGCTTCCCCAGAGGGCGCTCAGATTTGCAATCCAAGCCGCCCGAATGGCAATCTACGCTGTGCAACGCCCCGAAAGGCAATCTGAATACAGAAACGCTTCAATCCGCAACCTCAGGAAAGGCACGCACCGGCAATCTGAACACAACAACACCTAGAACGGCAATCTGAGCAACGACACCCCCGAATAGGCAATCTGTGTACGGAAACGCCCGAATCCGCAATCTGAGCGCTGAAACGCTCGAATCCGCAATCTGAGCAAACATCCGAATCGGCAATCTGAGCACGGAAACGCCTGAATTGGCAAGCTGACCACCGAAACGCTCGCATGTGCAATCTGAGCCCTGAAACGCACAAACCCGCAATCTGAGCACTGCAACGCTCGAATCGGGCATCTGAGCGCCGAAACGCCCAAATCGGCAAACTAAGCGGAGACGCGCGAATCGGCAATCTGAGCACGGAAACGTCTCAATCGGCAATCTGGGCACGGCAACGCCTCAATCGGCAATCGGAGCATGCAAACGTCTGGCGCAGTTGATCGAAGATGTGATGTGATGATCTTTGTTCTCACGCCAGTTGCGCGGAATCATTCCCAAAGGCATTCTGTGTGAAACAGAAGTGAAACTACAGATCATTCTAGCTCACTCACAGACTCCTTCAATGTTTTTGGATCCTTTGAGACAAAAAGCCTGTCAATCCAAGAGATTGTGAGGCACTGGACGCACCTGTTGGCACTTCCTTGGATGGCGTCTGTGGGAGCGTCCCATATTAATGATTCACTCTGTTGTAGGCGAGCTAAAAGGGTGTGTCGGGCACTGCGCCGTCGAGGTCCACACCAATGCTGGTAAACGTGCGAATGCTGTCGGTATTCACCACCACCACTGTTTTTGTTCGTACATCCTCGCCAAAGTGCCCAACAGAAGGTCGTCTGCGTAGTCGTCCCGCAACTGCTTAGCCGTATGCTGCTGCACAGTACGACCAAGATTGGCAGCTGCCGCTGCTAGGGCTGCTGGGTCCTGCCTCTTCCATCACACGAGCCCTCATGCGTGAGATGCTGTCGTCTGTCATCCCAAGTTTTTGGAGGGCGTGGAACAGGCAATGCTCGTCCTTCAGTGTAGACGGATCGCAGCGCTTGCCGTAGGGAGCTAGAGCCTCTTCGACCTCCTCAATGCTGATCTCTACATCCTTATCTTTTTCTGGCACGTCTTCGTCGAGAGCTCGCCTTGTGGACCAACGGCGCGTCGTCTGAGTCGACGATGGTGGCGCCTGAGCTCTCCTGATCTGCGCTCGGGTCGGAGTCATTTTTCTGTGCGTCGTCGGGGTACCTCTCCTCAGTCTGGAGCTGACGACGATATATTTTTTGAGGCTCTCTGGAGATGCAAGAGTCTGCTGCTTTCAGGGCCTGTGGAGGTGTGGCCGATGCCAATCCAGCACTCACACCACCTGTAGCAGTAGAAACGCTCTTGCCTCGGGAGCCCCTCCAATTCCAAAGTATCGGCATCCCCCCGTGACCACCCCCGTCTGCGCCAGCACGCCTTAAGCAGCTCGAACCTTTTCGCTGGAAATCGCCTCACTCTGTGTTCCCCCGTCGGGATAGGTATTCGAGACATTTCCAGCGCTCGTCGAGCTTCAGGAACCGCTGTTGGTAGTCTCCCCTGATTCTGCCAAAACTGCCACATATTTGACCAATTTCGCGCCAGCAGAGATAACGCTTCTGTCTAGTTCTGAGTTGATTCTCCAAGCCAATTCCTGCCATCGGACTTCACGTTCTGCGTCAGCAACCCGGCCTTTCCACATACTCAGCTGGCTACGCATTTTCTTCAATGATCCATTGAAGGATTCGCCCAAATTTGTTGTTTTTCATAGCCCGCAAACCGCGCAGCGGTTTGCGGGGCAGGAAAATCTCAGGGCAGGCCCTTGTGGGCTTCTTGGCTTTCGCCCCTCTCCGCTTCTCCGCTATGGCAGGGGAATGCTTATGGCCTGGTTGCTGCTGGACGGCAGGCGGTCCTCGCTGCTCGGTTGCTCGGCTGAGTAAGTGGTTGATTGGCTTCCTATCCGCCGGTGCCTCGGCACTCTGGGCCATGGCGGTGCTGTCGCTATTCCCTTCGCTGGTTGGCAAGGTTGGTTGATTCTGGCCGCCATCTGTGCAGCGGCGCCGCCAAGGGACAAACCGCGGCACTGCTGGCTGCTCTGCTGCGCAGGGCTCGAAGGCGAGGTGCCGCGCTGGTGCGCTGGCGGAGCTCCTGGTCGTTTCTCGTTCTCGGTTTTGCTTGATTCAGGGGCTGCGGGTCTGCGAGCCGGGAGGCCGCCCGCAGCCCAGGGTCGCAGGTTTGCGTGCCGGGAGGCCGTCTGCGGGCCCAGGTTTGCGCCGAAGCGCAATGTGCAGGCTAATGTGCGGGAAGGCCGTCTGCACGGCTGGGGCCGAGCCTGCACTGGAGCGCTGGCGGAGCTCCTGGTCGTTTCTCGTCCTCGGTTTTGCTTGGTTCAGGGGCTGCGGGCCTGCGCGCCGGGAGGCCGCCCGCAGCCCAGGGTCGCAGGTTTGCGTGCCGGGAGGCCGCCTGCGGGCCCACGTTTGCGCCGAGGCGCAATGTGCAGGCTTATGTGCCGGAGGCCGTCTGCACGGCTGGGGCTGGGGCTCGCCTGCACTGGGGCGCTGGCGGAGCTTCTGGTCGTTTCTCGTCCTCGGTTTTGCTTGGTTCAGGGGCTGCGGGCCTGCGCGCCGGGAGGCCCCCGCAGCCCAGGGTCGCAGGTTTGCGTGCCGGGAGGCCGCCTGCGGGCCCAGGTTTGCGCCGAGGCGCAAGGTGCAAGTTTTTATGTGCCAGGAAGCCGTCTGTGCGGCTGGGGCCGGGGGCTTGCCTGCGTTGGAGCGCTGGCGAAGCTCCTGGTCGTTTCTCGTCCTCGGTTTTGCTTGGTTCAGGGGCTGCGGGCCTGCGCGCCGGGAGGCCGCCCGCAGCCCAGGGTCGCAGGTTTGGCCCACAGACAACGCGGGAGCGCGGTTTGCAGGTTTGAGCGCCGGAAGGCTGCTAGCACAGTGTGTGCTACGGGCGCCATCGGCGCTGGGCTACGTAGCGCGGGATGTGCGGAAGCCACCGTGCGGCAAACATCGCCAAATTCTGGCGCTCTTCTGCATCGCCATGTCATCATCTCTGGGTCGTGTGCGCGCTGGCGAGGCTATTGTGCAGGTTCCTCTGTCGCCATGACGGCTCAGTGCTGGCCGTCGGCTTGACTTGCAAATCCCCCCCTTGCGAACAGCTTTCCGCGCAGGTAGGAGCTATGGCTTTCGAGCAGTCGGAGGTCTGTGCATTTGTGCAGGCGCTCCCGACGGGAGCCCTCCACGGCGCCAGCAAGCAGGCGGCTGAGGAGTGGTGCTCCTTTCTGCTGAGTGTGGACCCAACCCCAAGGGCGCGCCATGATTTGTTCTGGTACTTGTCTGTAGGGCGTCTCTTGGCAGAGAGCATGGGCGCTTGCGACCCACTCGACCTGGCAGGCCCGGTGATGCGAGACATAATTACGGCGGCTATCAAGCCAGGGCAAACGCCTTACGACTACGAGGGCGAGAGCCAGCTCTTCAGGGAGTGGAAGGTGCAGCCTTCCCAGATTGCTTTCGCCCTTCGCGCGCAGGACAAGTGCGCAAAGCTCGAGCCGCCAGCGCCGACAGCTGAAGTCACGCTCGCCAAAGCGGTCTGTGAAGGCTCTGTCCTTCAAGCTGTCGGAGAGGCTTTCCGAGCTTGGCATGGGCGCATTCCCGAAGGAAGCCCTGCCTTCGGAGGAGAACCTCGCCGGCTTCGAGGCCGCAGGCCGCGTCGCCAAGGAGAAAGGTCGCCTCTTCGTTGGCAGTGCTGATGGAGAGGACCTCCAGCGGAATTTCCGCCCTGCTTGGTCCCGCGTCCCGGCAGTCGAGGTGCCCATCGGCGAGGGCTCCGTGCCAGAGCGCCAGCGCCAGATGACCGATTTCAAGCGTTCACGGGCGGCGGCAGAGATCGATTACCCTGGATATGCAACGTTCCAGGCGCATTTGCTGGACTGGGGCGTCAAGCTCATCTTGATGAAGACTGCCACCCCGCTCGAGGTGCTGGGATACACAATGTTGGTTGCGAAGGTGGCCGAAGAGCACGGGGGCGGGGCGCAAGGACTGCATACCAGTGCGACATCCTCGCGCGGACGGCCATGGCGAGGGCCCTGGAAGGCGGCGATCCAGACTGGAAGGTTTACTTTACCAAGGTGGACCGCGACCTCGCCAAGGAAGCGAAAGACAAGGTCACAGCGAGGGCAGGCGAGGCCGCAAAGGGGGCGAGCGGCAAGGCAGGCGGCAAGGTCGGGGGCGGTGGCAGGGGCAAGGCGCCCGGCAAGACTGACGGCTCTGCTTCGACAGGCGCTGGGGCGTCTCAGGCGCAGGCCCCGCGGTCGTTTTCCCGGCGGTGCCGCCCCGCTCGAGCCCCTGGCCTCGCAAGCAAGGCGGCTGGGGCCAGCAGGACGGCTGGCAGCAGCACGGCTGGACGCAGCGCAAGAAAAAGTGAAGGCCACCGGCCGACAGCAGGTCCCCAGACAGCTCCAGCTCTGACCACTTCGAAGGGGAAGTCAGACGCGGGGCTGGCGACGGGCAGGCTGGAGCAACCTTCGCCGTCTGTGTGGGAGCTTGAATGTCCTGGTGTCTCTGGTTTTGCCGAGATGCAGGATCGTGTGAACAGTTTCAATGTTAGTTCAGCTGCTAGAAAATTCAACCCCTTTGGGCATTTAGACTGGGCCCTTGCGCTACCGTCTTGCGACGAGCGCCCAGGGGTAGCGGAACCGGTCGCCTCGTGGCTCGACCAAGTTCTGGCGTTAGACGGGCATTCTTTGGCAGAAGCCCGGTTTAAGAGCTTGCAGCACTGGCGCGAGCGCAAGCGAGTGCTGGACCCCATCTGGGCGTGCAAATTGGCAACGTTGCCAGCGCACCTTCGGAGCGTGCTGGGTCCGAAGAAAAATCTGCTTGTTTTTGGCGATATGTTGCGTGCGATTAATTGGCCGGACGCTCGGCTGTTAGTTGACCTTCAGAATGGTTTCCCTCTGCTAGGGGAGATCCCCCGGAGCGGAGTGCTACCGCGCAAACCTTTTAACACCTGCACTGAGACGGTGGCGAGCCTGCGTGCGCAGGCAGCAGTTTTGAACGCTGGAGCCATTCGTCGCGCTCGGCGGCTGGCCGATCTGGAGCCGTCCGTGCGCCTGGTTTTTGAGGAAAAGTGCGAAAGGGAGGCGAGCGAGGGTCACGCGAGGTGGCGTCGTCTGCGCGACACTTGTATTTTGACGCCTCGCTTCCCGGCCGACGAGGGCTGGACGGCAGATAATTCGCGAAAGGTCCGCTGCATAAATGACTTCACGTCGTCTGGTGTTAATGCAGCCGTGTCAGTGGCGCGAGGAGGTTCGTCACGACACTTTGGACCAGTTTGTGGCCGCTTTGTGCGTCGTGCTCCTGGCGGGAGGTGGCGGAGCCTCCGTTCGCCAGGAGGATTTCGCACGCTTTCAAGACGTTGCCACTGGCCAGTTCCCACCTGCAGTTTGCTGTGGTGGCTTGGGATTCGGCCGTGGCGCGGGGCCAGTGCCTTCAGCTCCTGGCGTGCCCATTTGGGGCGGTGGCATCAGTGTACAATTGGGAGCGTTTTGCTGCTGCAGTGCGAGCAGTTCTTGCTCAGCTTTCCATGTGGTGTTCCTACGCTACGTGGACGATTTGTTTGGATCGGACGTTCAATTGCCAGGCGCACCTTTCTTCGCAACCCCCGCTGGCGCCGCAGAAGTGACGCGGGAGGTTGTGACCGGTCTGCTTGGCTGGGAGCTCGACGGCTCTTGGTGTCAGCGTTGCGCTCGACCAGAAGGACGGCGCAGTGCGGCTCGGGATCTGCGTCGCGAGACTGGAGCGCTGGAAAAGCGAAATTAAGGTGCAAAGCTGTCTACATAATTGTTTGGTCGTTTAGACTGGTCCACCCCTCTACAGAGGAATGCCACCTCTAAAGGTTTTTGCCCGCGTCTAAAGCGCCACAGTGGCCCTGTCTAAAGGGGCTGGCTGGGGATTCTGACAGGATTCTGAGAGCACTCTGAGAGGATTCTGACAGCTTTCTGAGAGGATTCCGAAAGCATTCTGAGAGGATTCTGAGAGGATTCTGAGAACATTCTGAGAGGATTCTAACAGCTTTCTGAGAGGATTCCGAAAGCATTCTGAGAGGATTCTGAAAGCATTCTGAGAGGATTCTGCGAGGATTCTGAGAGCATTCTGCGAGGATTCGGACAGCTTTCTGAGAGGATTCTGAAAGCATTCTGAGAGGATTTTAAAGCATTCTGCGAGGATTCTGAAAGCATTATGCGAGGATTCTGAAAGCATTCTGAGAGGATTCTGAGAGCATTCTGAGAGGATTCCGAGGGGATTCTGAGAGGATTCTGAAAGCATTCTGAGTGATACTGGAACGATCCCAAAGCGATTCCGGGCCGATTTTCGCATGACGTAGCCGAAGCACGATGGCTCAACCTCCGAGTTTGACTTCGTGTCCTTACTGTGCTTTACCTATACCCTCAGAATTGTTGTTCGCTCACCTTGCGACTCATGAAAGATATGTGAATGCATTTTTTGGACGAGGTGGCTCTTCGCAGTCGCAATCTGCCCTGGTGCCAGCAGTGCCACAATCGGGGCCAGAGTCACCTGCACGTCGACTCGTTCCACTTGCAGCCGAGCCAGCTCCGCCGGCACAACCGCCGCCAATTCCTTTACATGATACGCCGCGATCGGTAGGTTTCCACCGATGTTCTAGCATGCAGCTTCCCGAACTTCTGCAACACCTCGACGATCGGAAAGAGGCCGGAATCCTTCAGGACCTTCTTTCTGAAGGTGTTGTCCGCCCGCTTGGGCACTGTGGCTGCAACGCTTCTCGGCCGACCCTGAGACCAAGTCAAAGAGCCAGCCAGGCAGTCAAAGGCAGAGGCCATGGCCCTATAGCTTCAGCCAGATGCACTCGTTGTCAAGCGCACCACTCTGTCGATTTCAGTGGAACTCCGTTTGAGGGGAGCCGAAATAAACTTGGCTTGGTTACAACGTTCAAACTAGCTGCACACTGGTTGGACGGGACTGGCGTCGGGAAAACCGCTCGGGCATTGAAGATATGTGACAGCACGGTATCTGCAATGTGGAGCAAGCTGAGACTCCCAGTGGCGTGGCAGCAGCAGAACTTACCCAGGATTGCCGATTCAGAGTGCATCGTGGATATCACGTGGGGTCCGCATCGGAGACAGGTTCGGTACGGCGTGCCAGCGCGTCCTCTCAAGTTCGAGAGCTACATCTTTCAAGTAGCAGTGGCATTCAGGGTCTTTCAAGGCGTCCGGCGATTCCTACCTGGAACTCTTCGTGTGCAACGTGTCCTCAGCAAAGATGCCACGTACAACAAAAACGTATTGTTGACAATGTTGGACCCTTCCTGCTCAATAGTTTCGGACCAGGGCTCCGAATGGGCACGCCTCCCGCATTTCTTTGCCCGAGCCTCAACAGTTAACCCTTCAATAGAATGGGTTTCGGCCGACGGTGCAACAACAAATTTGGGCGAATCCTTCAATGGATTATTGAAGAAAATGGGTAGCCAGCTGAGTATGTGGAAAGGCCGGGTTGCTGACTCAGAACTGGAAGTCCGATGGCAGGAATTGGCTTGGAGAATCAATTCAGAACTAAACACAAGCGTTATCCCTGCTGGCGCGAAATTGGTCAAATATGTGGCAGTTTTGGCAGAATACCAAGCGAGCACCCAGGGGAGACTACCAGCAGTGGTTCCTGAAGCGCGACGAGCGCTGGAAATGTCTCGAATACCTCTCCCGACGGGGGAACACCGAGTGAGGCGATTTCCAGCGAAAAGGTCCGAGCTGCTTAAGGCGTGCTGGCGCAGACTACGGGAGTGTTTACGGGGGGATGCCGATACTTTGAAATTGGAGGGGCTCTCGAGGCAAGAACGTTTTTACTGCCACAGGTGGTGTGAGTGCTGGATTGGCATCAGCCACACCTCCACAGGCCCTGAAAGCAATAGAGTCTTGCATCTCCAGAGAGCCTCCAAAGTATATCGTCGTCAGCTCCAGACTGCAGAGAGGCGCCCCGACGACGCACAGAAAGATGACTCCGACCCGAGCGAAGACCAGGAGAGCTCAGGCGCCACCATCGTCGACTCAGATGACGCGCCGCTGGTCCACAAGGCGAGCTCTCGACGAAGCACGCGAAAGAGGCCCGCGGCAGACGTGCCAGAAAAAGATAAAGATGTAGAGATCAGCATTGAGGAGCTCGACGAGGCTCTGGCTCCCTACGGCAAGCGCTGCGATCCGTCTACACCGAAGGACGGGCATTGCCTGTTCCACGCCCTCCGAAAACTTGGGATGACAGACGACAGCATCTCACGCATGAGGGCTCGTGTGATGGAAGAGGCAGACCCAGCAGCCCTAGCAGCGGCAGCTGCCAATCTTGGCCGTACTGTGCAGCAGCACAAGGCTAAGCAGCTGCGGGACGACTACGCAGACGACCTTGTGTTGGGCACTTTGGCGAGGATCTGCGAAAAAACAGTGGTGGTGGTGAATACCGACAGCATTCGCACGTTTACCAGCATTGGTGTGGACCTCGACGGCGCAGTGCCCGACACACCCTTTTGGCTCGCCTGCAACAGAGTGAATCATTACTATGGGACGCTCCCACAGACGCCCCCCAAGGAAGTGCCAGCAGGTGCGTCCAGTGCTTCACAATCTCTTGGATTGACAGGCTTTCTTGCGCAAAGGATCCAAAAACATTGAAGGAATCTGTGATTGAGCTAGAATGATCTATAGTTTCACATCCGTTTCACACAGAATGCCTTTGGAATGATTTCGCGCAACTGGCGTGAGAACAAAGATCATCACATCACATCTTCGATCAACTGCGCCAGACGTTTGCATGCTCCGATTGCCGATTGAGGCGTTGCCGTGCCCAGATTGCCAATTGAGACGCTTCCGTGCTCAGATTGCCGATTCGCGCGTTTCCGCTTAGATTGCCGATTCGGGCGTTTCGGTGCTCAGATGCCCGATTCGAGCGTTGCAGTGCTCAGATTGCGGGTTCGTGCGTTTCAGGGCTCAGATTGCACATGCGAGCGTTTCGGTGTTCAGCTTGCCAATTCAGGCGTTTCCGTTCAGATTGCCGATTCGGGTGTGTGCTCAGATTGCGGATTCGAGCGTTTCAGCGCTCAGATTGCGGATTCGGGCGTTTCCGCACTCAGATTGCCTATTCGGGGGTGTCGTTTTTCAGATTGCCGTCCTGGGCGTTGTTGTGTTCAGATTGCCGGTTCGTGCCTTTCAGGGCTAAGATTGCTGATTCCGGCGTTGCGGTGCTGAGGTTGCGGATTGAAGCGTTTCTGTATTCAGATTGCCCTTTCGGGCGTTGCACGGCGTAGATTGCCATTTGGGCGGCATGGATTGCAAATCTGGGCGCCCCCTGGGGAAGCACGTAACCTAGCTCAGATTGCAATTCTGGGTTGGAATTCTGGGCGCGCCTGCC